ATAAAGGTGCTGTGCTGCAGCTGGTATGTTGGCTAGAGCTTCATGAAACTCAATGCGCAGTTTTGACAGAGGGGGCACAACTGTTGGCAGGTTCTGGTGACCGTGGCAAGCCTCAGCGGGAGTTATTCTAAGAATACAACGTATGATCAGATTACCGAGGGACACTTTACATAGCTCTAAAAAATGAACCATCTGACAGTTTATGACAGCTCTGCCTGTTCCAGCCAAATGAGGAGTGTGCTGGTCTCTGCTGACCCTGCAGCAGGGTTGTGAGACAAAGAAAGCGCTTTCCGGAGGTTGTGAACCTACAGGCCTCTGTCTGTGTAATACCTGCTTACATCTAACTCTTGATAAGGAAACCAAAAGATGTTTAGGACTTGTTTTCTCTTGCAGTTTTGATTCCTGGTAATTTAACACATCCTTGCTGCAGTTTATTTGGCTTGGCAATTTGTATAGTTCTGTACTTAATAATTCCTGTGATGCCAATGTCTTTGTAGAGTGATCTGGTTTTTTTTTTTTTGTTGTTTTTTGCTACTAGTATCTCTATTAACTTAATATACCCTGCCACCTTGTTTTTCCCCTGGCTCTGTGAGGATATGCTTCTGGAAGAAGAAAGCTGTATGAGAGGTGGAGGCAAGTGGAAAGTGAGTTCTAAAGCCGGACATTTTGAGGATCCACATTTGAACACTCTAGAGAATTTCTCTCTAGAGTATTTCTATTCCAGCTTCTAATATGTACAATTTGTACAAGTCTCCCCTCCCTCTAGTCTTCTCCAGTGAAGTACATTGCCTGAGATAGCATTGGATTTTTGCTGTTGTTATCAAAGGCAAGCAGTTAAATGCACGCTTAGGGAAACACCTCTCACTTTCCCAGGCTGTCTACAGTTTACTGCCTCTCCTGCCAGCTGCCTGGTCTCAGCTTCCCTTTTTTTTGATTCTCTGTAATACTCAGTTGCTCCTAACTCCTTTCAGGTGCTGCATGGTGCAGGAGGTTGGGGGTTACTGTGTAAAGGTTTCTTTCTGCTACCCCTTGCTTTTTAGTTTGTTGGGGTTTGTTTTTTTTTTGTTTGTTTGTTTGTTTTTTTTTCTTTTCTCTGGTGCTCCTTGTTTCTTGCTGCTTCTCTGCTCCTATGTGAGTTCTCAATGAGCTGCAGGCCTTTCAGGGTTGTCCCTGCTCTGCCATGTGTCTTCCATGGGCTGCAGTTGCCTCAAAGTGTACTTCTTCTGCCACAGAGCACTTCTTTTCAAAAGCACCTTTCCAGCCATGTCCCCAACAATGTCCCCTGCCATGTGTCTCCTTTTCTCCTTCATTTTGTCCAGATGTGTCTTTTTACATGTTTTGCATTCCTCTTTTCTGTGCATCCGCATATGTGTCCTTTTTGTGGTTCCTTTTGTGTGTCTCTCTGTGTGTCTCCTGCCCCCAGTGGCTATTGCCCTTTCCAAAATACTATTTATTTGTTTAGTTATTTATTTGAATAGGGGTAGCTTGTGCTTCTCTGACTGGGTCAAGGGTTTCGATGGCTCGTTGTTTTCATGCATTTTGGAGATGGGTGGAACTGACCGTGGCTGGCACAGGGCTGTTCATGGCATCCTGTTACATGGATTACTCCTGCAGCCTTCTGCTGCTGAAGCAGAATAGTGCTCTGTTAGACTACTCAGTCTGTATAATTTCTTGACTTCATGGAATCAGAACAAAGCAAAACTTGCTCTGTAACATGTAATATCTGTTTGGGAATCCTTTGCAATTCATTTTGCAAGGATGATCCATTGTTAAGACAGTGTTTTGAGACTTTCCATATGTTCAAATCGTCAGTATATCCCAATATGCACCCTTTAAAAGTTTGCCTGAAACTCGCCACATCCACTTCTCTCAAGGCTAGTTTTTCCTCTTGCTTCCACTAACTCATTCTCTTTGCCCCTCAGAGGGTCCTTCTGGTGTGTATAAATTTTCATTCTTTTTCTTTATAGACAATGGTGTTTGAGCACCTGGTTTGGCACACTTCCCACTTTTGACATGAGTCAAAACGTCCTGAAATCTTGCACATGCTGGTATCTGTGCGAGAAGAATCACTGCTCTTGTTTCTTACCTTTCAACTTGGATCCTTGTCCAACAGATGGAGAGTTTGGAAAGCCGTAAATGTTATTCCAGGGACTAGAAAAAGGTGGGGTGTGTATGTGTTGCTAGTAATTGGTGTTGCCTTTGTAAAAATGGTCACATTGGTTGGAAAAGCAGATAGGAAGAAGGTAGCATGACAGCATCTACTCTCATCAAACACTCCTGGGCATGTCACTGTGCTAATGCTGAAACTGTGTAACTGAAGAGGTCAGTGGTTACGTGCTGGGCATTGTGTTTCTGGCACAGTGTGTTTCCTAATTTGTGTATAGAGAAGCTGGAGCTGTTTTCTCAGCCACAGGCCTGATCTCTTCTCCCAGGGGAATGAGGAGAGCTTCTGTAATGACAGTATCGGGAAAAGATTAAGATCTGTAAATGTAAAATGCTTTCCTATCCCTGTGTAAGCTTTGGTTTTGTTTCATGAATATGAACTAAATCTGGTCATTGACATTTACATTCTTCTGTTTCAGAAATAGATGGAATTAGTAGCTTTGCCAGCCCTTCCCTAAAGGGTTGGGTGTTCAGTTTCTAGCACAGTCTTTCATGGCATCCAGCTTTTTTCAGGGTTGGGTTGTACAGGGGTTTTAAACTAAAAACATGTGTCAACCTTTTCATAGAATATTCAGCTAGTGGAATAAATTTTGCATCTATTTTCACTGCTTGCATCTTTGATGTCTATAATGCCCTAATATACGAGTTCTCAATTCAGCCCATAAACATTCCATAGAAAATAATTGGGATATTAGAATTTTGTTATAAATAAACTTCCTAAGAGCTGTGGCATTGCTGTTGAGTTTATTCTGACTTAATTCTTCAATCATTTGCAGCCATATAAGATGTCTCGCAGCTTTGCACTTCCCACTCCCAACTTTTTATAAAGGTTCTGTATCGTTACTAATGTGGTCACCACAAATGTTTTATTTTGCTGGGACTGTTCTTTCTATCATGGTTTCTGTCTTGAATCAGCCTGGGGTTCAGATTTGTAGCTGCTGCTTTTCTGGTTTTGCTCTTTATTCCTTCATCTCCAGGAAAAGAACAAAATCTGCGCATCTTAGACTTGATATATGGGAGCCAGTGTATGCAACCTGTATAGTGTGCCTCATGCCCTGGTGTCCACTCAGACAGTTCTGTGGTGCTAGCTGTCAATCAGATCTAAGCTCGCTTCTCCTATTCACTGCTAAAGTTGTTGGTAGTTCAGCCTTTTCTGCTTCTCTTCCTGATTTGTTTTCTTTTTAAATCCTGGACCCGAGTCTTCTGCAGTTTTTTGCTTTCATTCCAAGCAATTTAAAATTCTGTACCAGTGACCTTGTAGCTTCAGGTTTTGTTATCCATTTAATTCATGTTGTTCTTAACGCCTTTTTCCTTCATCTGTCACCGTGACCATCTTCTCTTTGCATCTCTGCACTGGTCTCTCTTCTCACATCAAACATAAAGCTGCTTGTCTTCATTTCCCGTATCATGTCACACTGATAAATTCTGTGTAGGTGTTTCTATGTACTTCCTCATTTTTGTTCATTTTCTGAAGTTCACAGAATGACAGACTCATTTAGGTTGGAAGGGATCGATCTCTTCAAATTGTCTAGTCTGGCCCTATTGCTCAAGCAGTGTCAGCTACAGCAGGTTGCCCAGGATTGTATCCAGTCAGGTTTTGAGTATTCTCCAAGGATGGAAACTCTGCCTCTCTGGGCAGCCTGTACTAGTATTTGACCACCTTTCCAGCAAAAAAAAAAAAAAAAAAATTGTTTTCTCTCTCTTCTGCTTTGTTTTCAGATGGAATTTCATGTCTTTCAGTTTGTGCCCATTTGTTTCTTGTCCTATCACTTGGCTCTGCTGAGAGGAGGCTTGTTTTCTCTTCTTCATTGCCTCCCATCAGGTATTTATATGCAGAGATTAAAAACTCCCACTGAGTCTTCTCCAGGCTAAACAGTCTCAGCTCTCTCAGCTTCTACTCGTATAAAGGTTTCTCCTGTCTCTTAATAGTTTTTGTGGACCTTTTGCTGGACTCACTCCAGTATTTCCACATCTTTCTTGTGCTGAGGAGCCCAGAACTGGACACAGTACTCAAGATGTTGCCTCAGCAGTGCTAAGTAGAGATGAAGGATCACCTCCCTTGACCTGTTGGCAATAACCTGAGACGATGTTAGTCTTCTTTGCCTTCGGGTGCATTGCTGGCTCACTGTCTGCTTGTTCTCAACCAGGACCCCATCCACTGAGTCAATTTTCAGTACACCTGCTTGTCCGCTTAGCTAGCCCATAATTTGTCAGGGTTGCCTATGAGGATATTATGGAAAGCAAAGTCAAAAGCCTTGCTAGAGTCACAATATGTACAGCTCTGTACTCATCCACCTGGCTGCAGAAACTACTAGGTCGGTTAAGTATGATTTCCAATTTGTAAATCTCTGTGGACTACTTCCAATTGCCTTCTTGTCCTTCATGTATCTGGAAATGGTTCCCAGGATTACATGTTCCATCACCTCCCAGGGACTTAGGTGAGGCTGACTGGCCTGTTATTTCCTGGATATTCTTTTTTCCTGTTCTGAATATTCTAGGGTGAGTGGCTTTCCTTTTTCTCCTTTGAACTGGCAATTTTGATCCATGCTTACAGATTCTACACACTATGGAAATATAATTAAGCAAAGCACATGGTTCTCCTTTTTACTGATAATTTTAAGCTATACAGATGCAAGCTGGGAAATAGAATTTGCAGTCCAAGGTTCTGCTCCTAAAACTCAGACCATGTGAACTAATGAGTACCTTTCGAAGACAGAAAATAGTGTGACAGGAGTATCACCCTCCTGCTGATGTCTATAGACAGCTAATTCCCTAATGCATCTTTCCCAGAGGTCATAGCTTTCTAAACTTGTATTTGCATTATTTCTCTGTTCCAGGCCGAAATGAGCTGATTGCCCGCTATATTAAGCTGAGAACAGGGAAAACACGCACAAGGAAACAGGTAAGTTTTCCCTGTAAACATTAGTTTTGTGGGACCACTAGACCTGATGAGGGCTTATGAGAACAAATACCTTGCTGCTCACTTGTTATTACCTTCTGGCATTGCTGGAAAGAGGTGGCTGTGCTGCACTGGTTAATAAGAATGGTGGGAAGAGTCAGCTCAGGCATTTTACAGTAGGATTGTAATGCTCCCGTCTCCCAGCCACACTGAGAGAGAATTTTTTTCTGCTATTAAATGGTGTATGATTTCATTTGCTTGGCTTACTAATGAATTTTTCAGTGAACCTCAGTAGTCCTCTATATGAAGAATCTTGCTCAGCCCAAATAGGTAAACAGCTGTGGTGATTTTGAAAATACCCAGGGCATGGGATGCGAAAGGAATCTTTTTAATTTGGGAATGATAGTCCAGGCTATACTGGACAAAGCACAGAGCAACCTAGACCTGCTTTGGGCAGGGGGTTGGTGAATGACATCCAGAAGTTCCTTCCAACCTAAATTATTTTGTCATGCGTTTTGGCCCACATTAGATATGGGGAAGTTCTGAAAGTTATTATATAATGATGGGGGATATAGAAGTGGATATAGAACATGGTTTTCCCTCCTCTCAAGAAGAGGCTAAGATGGGGGGAGCAAAGAGATCAGAACTGTCAGTCCCTCGATTTAAGGGTGGGCTCTTCAGTTTTAGACAAGGTCTCTGACTTGATAAAGCCACTGAATTGGAAAATGTCTTAAATGAGACCTTTGCTGATCCCCCACCTCATTTCATTTCACTTAAGGTATATTTAGAAAAGCATCTCATTGCTATCTCCAACTCCCTCTCCCCCCAGTCCTGAATAGCTCCCTATTGCACAGGGTGCCTAAAGTATGTTTACTTCTGCAAGCAGCTACCAAGTACTCCTCTGAAATGAAGATGGATTTTGTCTTTTCAATGCAGGTATCTAGTCACATCCAGGTCCTGGCAAGGCGGAAAGCTAGAGAGATCCAAGCCAAGCTCAAGGTATGATGTGTGTCCTTTAACATACCACCAAGCCCCCGAGTCAGCTATTCTTCCCCCGTCCATTCCCTCTTTGAATAGCCTTAAGAAAGGGTGAGATTAATTGCTGAGTTGTAGTAAGCTGCTGTCATCCAAGTCTGAAAGACACTTAGACTTGGGAGTATACAAAGAGTGTTTACCTGGGAAGAAAGAGTTTATTGTTACAAATGCTGACGAGTAATCAGTCCCTGGTGTTGTGGCAGCCCTGGGAAAAGGTAGCCTTACTGTCACTACAGTGCTAGTTCCACCTCTACTAGTGGTAGTGATGTGGAGTTGTCTGTGAGAAAGCATTCCTAGCTGGCATAAACATTGAGAGGAAACAATAAAGCCATTTGGCTTCTTCTCAGGTAAAATGGTGCCAGCTGAATAGACTTTGCCCCTTGATTAATTCAGACCTAATTTGAAGAGACCTGGGCTAATGAGATAGAAAATTTGGCTGACTACTAGCTTGAGCAAATCTGTGTTTTCCTTTCTATAGGAAGAGCTCTGAGATCACAGTAATGAACTGATGCCTCTTGACATCTATTTACGCTGATTTGAAGCAGGGTGATGGTTTATGTGCTCAGACTGAATTGCAAGAAGTATGAAGAAGGTTGAGTTTATGGATGATAATTGCACAAGAGGGTGTCCCCTGTTAGAATATGAGACATTCAGAAAGGGCTTGCTGAGCAGGATTTGAGGCCTGATCCTTGTTATGTATTACTGAAACAGCCAGAGAAGGAAGGTGTGTGCTGACCTTCCTGATTTGCTATGGTAATAAATGATCTAGAAAGAAGTGTGTTTGCTTCATGCTTCAGGTGATGGTGAGGATTTTGACAGCCCAGTCCATCCCTAACTGTTGAGTGGATGGCTGTTAGTATGTGCTTCCTCTTTGCTGGCTGGGCAACTCCTTACTGGGCAGTAGGGGAAGCGGACGGTCTGTGAGTGAACTGTTAGCACTCAGTATTGACAAGTGCTGAAGTTCATGCATCTCTATTGCAACTAGTGATTACCTCTAAAGTCATGACTGCACCCTCCACATCCCATCCCCAGCTCCATTTTAGAAAATGGTGTTGTGTCTGTCATTAGCCTGTTCTGTTTCCAGTTGCTCTGATAAAGAGAAGGAGCCATAAATTACAACTATCTAATTGTGCTTCTAGGTAGGGCTGCCTAAGCCTGAAACCTGTGGTGCTGTTAAGTGGTCAATTCAGGTGGAGGCTCGCTTGAGAGGCGAGTTAGAGCAAGTAGGAAACAACAACTGCCTGGGGTGTTAAAAGATTTACTGCTACTTAAATCTGTAACTTTGATTCCGTTCCTTGCATGTCACAGCTCTGGGATTTGGCATGATTGAAAAGCCAGTCAGTCGAGCCTGTTTCCACTTAGCACACAGGAGCTGGCTGTTTTTGTTCTCAGGGAATGAAGGTGTCTCAGGGAGCTATATGGAGCCATTGGTTGTTCTCCTTTTACACCACCCCAGGCCATGCTGTGAGCTCTGCCCAGCTGCCTGCAGTGAACCATTCCCCAGTACCAGACTGTTCCTTTCTGCCTGCAGAGGCAAGTCTATAGCACTGATTCAACTCATTTACTTCTTTGCTTTTGCTAGTCATTTTCATAGAGCAAGTAAATGAAATCACAAAAGCTGCTGCCTTTCTCCCAGGTTCCTGCTGATAGCAGTGTGTTCTACTACCATTGTTCATTTTCCATAGCAAGTATATGTTTTCATATTTATATCCTAGAGATCAGAGCAGCTACATGCTGACTTTTCAGAGCAGTTATCATAATACAACTATTTTCAGACAAATTGGCGTATCTCCTCTAACAGATATATGCACCTATAACATATAGAGGTGGGAAGGTAGGATAAAGCTTGGAGAAAAGTCTGTTCCCAGAAGTCAGTAGTTTTCTATGTCCTGGGTGGCTAACAGATAACACGTGTACTAAGGAAAAAGAGGGAAATGGTGGTGATACTATTATCCTTATTAATTATTCTGCATTTTCAGAAAAATAAAATACATTGCAAACGTTTGGTAAAAGTTTTTTGTCTACTTTAATACTTGCACAGGCAAATGCCTCTTCCCCATAAACTCAAACAAACATGATTTTTCCAGCGAGAAAGTAAGGGGAGAAAAAAAATCTTTTTCTGCAATGGCAACTGCAAGAAAATGTCAATGTCAAGAAAAAAAAACAAACCCCACAAAACCCAAAAGAATCCTTACCTTAAAAAATGTTGTAGATAATCCTTAGATCATTCTCTAAAACACCATTTAAACTGGATTCTGACAAACTTTCTCATAGCTTTGGAGAATCTTGGGCGCTTTCTCAGCAATCGAAATGTTTCCCTTCCATTCACTTAAATGGTACCAACAGGAGTCACAGACTCTTTGGAAAAGATTTGTAAGGTTCCCCTACTGACCATTCCACTTTATTTTATTCTTGAGCTTTTGTTATGCCTCCTCCAAATGTTTTTGTGCTCGACACATCGGAATCACTGGGCTCTGGACTTTAGAAAACCTTACAGCAGGTGGGGGGGTTAGAACGAATGGAGACGCAAGGGTGAGAATTTACTGCAGTTCAATGAATGCAACTGGGAGGTGAGAATCCCTGAAGACAGCCAGAGCTTATCTCTTTCAGTGGTTTCTCCAAGCCATGAGTTCATCTGTGGCATCACCATTGTAATTATTTGACAGATAAATCTGGAGTGCTTGAAGGATGAAGATTATTTGTAGGGGACGTGGGAGGAAAGGGAGAATGTGGGGAAGCACTTCTGTTTGTATATTTATTCCTTGGAAGAAGAAATTAAGAATGCTATTTGTTTTAAACATGCATCATACCACTTGGTTGCTGTGCCATCATTACCTGTAAAAATGTATGGAGTTCCACAGCCCTGTTAAACTACAAGGTGGAATGTCCTTGCATGTGTGCCCTGGGAGTGTATTAAGATTTTTTGTTTCCCCGGGGATGGGAATAAATGGTCAACTCTACCTGTCTCTAATGTAGTCCCAAACAGCAGGTAGTCTGTTTGCAGTGACGGTGACAAACTCCTTTTGTGAATTTGTTTTATGAGGATTTTTTTGCTAAGCAAGAGTCTTTCCCTTTGAATATTCTTACCAATTATTAAAAACAAGAGTCAATTAGGGCTGTACTTTCCTTAACAGAACATTTCCGCTCTGCAGCTGAAAGCCTTCAGACAGAATGCTTAGCAGTCTCTAAACCAGTGATCCCAGCATTTCAGAAAGGGTGGTTAATCACATCGGAAGCTATAGTAACGGGTGAAAGACTTGTTTTTTAGGACAGTTATTGGTAGGCCTGCTTCCCAAGTGCTTGTTCCCTGCAAAGAAACTGATGAGAATCCTGGTTATGCAGCATTAGACCAGGCAATTTGTTTATCATTATAATAATTCTGGGTTTCTTTTGTTTTCTTTCTACTCTTGCCCATAGGATCAGGCAGCTAAAGATAAAGCCATGCAGAGTATGGCTACAATGTCATCTGCCCAGATTATCTCTGCAACTGCCTTCCATAGTAAAATGGCCTTGCCTGGTCTCCCACGACCTGCCTACCCTGCTGTTTCTGGGGTGAGTGAATCAGTATCTCAGCAGAGTTGGGCTGAAGACACTTGAGTAGTTGAAAGGATGTTGGCATCTGCTCATGAGAATCCTGAGAGTCTTAGAACGAATAGGCCACAAAGCACATGGCAAAAATTTGTCACATGGCTTCAACATTTTGTGTCTGATTCTTTGCTACCCCTGAATATAGTGTCATTATATACACAAGTGAGAGAACAATCGGATCCTTTGGGTTTTCAGCTGCCTGAAATATCTTTAGGTATCTGTATCACTTTCCTAGTCCAGGATCTCGTTGGATTAAAACCATTTGAGCCATCATGACCCTTCCTCAAGTTTATCATTCCCAAGCTCCTCCCGAGTGCTTAGATCACAAATTGATGACCCTTACATAAAATCCTTAATAGACGAGGCCTGTCAGCATCCCTTAACCTATGAGCTGGGCCCAATGAGCTTTTGCTGAGCATTGATTTCTGCCAAAATACTCATGTGGAGCTCTCCTGGGGAAAATGGTCCCTCTAAGAGAGTGAGCATCATTAAAGCTTTGAAGACAGAGGCACAAGGTGCATACATAGTGTTTAACATTAAAACCACTATTAGTTCAGTTGCTTGTATGTCACTAATAGTAGTGTGTAGAAAGAAAACTATGACCAATCAGCACCTCCACAAGGAAGAAACTAAGAACACTGAAAGCAGAGATAAAATTCAGTCACATTTTTAAAACTCCATGAGCTTGCAGTTTCTTTCCTGAGAAAGAAGCAAGCCTTGCTTTTAGTTTCTGGCCTGTCTTGGTATGGTTAATTTTCTTCCAAGTAGCTGATGCAGTGCTGTGTTTCAGCTTTAGTGTGAGATCAATGCTGATAACACACTGGTTTTTAGTTGTTGCTGTGTAATGCTTACCCTGATCAAAGACTCTTCAGTCTCATGCTCTACAAGTGAGGAGGGGCACAAGAAGCCAGGAAGAAGCAGAGACAGGACACCTGACCCAAACTAGCCAAAGGGGTATTCCATACCACAGCACGTCATGCGCGGTATAGAACCTGGGGGGAGTTAACCAGAAGGGACTGATTGCTGCTCAGGGACTGGTCGAGTATCAGTCAGTCAGTGGCTGGTGAGCCGTTGTGTTGTGCAGCACTATTGTTTGTTTGGGTTTTTTTCTTTTTTTTTTTTCTTTTTTTCTTTTTTCCCTCTTGTGATTGGTTTTTTGTTTGTGCGGGTTTGTTTTTTGTTTGTTTATTTTCACTCTCTCTTTTTATTATTTCCCTTTTCATTATTAGTATTATATTATACTTTGCTACTTTAGTTTAATTAAACTTTTCTTACTTCAACCCAAGATTTTTACCTTTTTTCCGATTCTCCTCCCCATCCCACTGAGGGGGAAGGGGAGTGAGTGAGTGGCTGTGTAGTACTTAGTCACCAGCTGGAGTTAAACCACAACATGTCCTAAGAGTGGTGACTTTTGCCTGTATGTTTTCTCTTGCAGTTTTGGCAAGGAGCTTTGCCAAGCCAAGCTGGATCTTCCCAAGAGTGAGTATTCCTTCACATGAGCATCCAAAGCAGATGCTTCTGCTGCTTCCTCTATGCTTCCTGAGGAACACCAGTTAGCTCTTACAAGATTTATAAAATGCTAAGACAGATTTCTTGACTGGATCTGAGACTTGAGGCCCATAGGCATAGAATAGTTAGGGTTGGAAAGGACCTTAAGATCTAGTTCCAACCCCTCTGCCATGTGCAGGGACACCTCTGAGAGACATTAGAGAATCTCATCTAGATAAAAGCTTGTGTCTTCATATGGTACTTTCAACACAAATTGCACCTCTTTAATATGTCCTATGACTCAAGCAGCCATAAACGTCCCCATAAGAAATCTTGTGCAATCCCAAAGTGCTCTTTCCTTGCATTCACTAATGTGTCCTATACCATCTAGGCGATAACCCCTCTCAGTTTGTAGTGACTGGCTTGTAAACCTCCCAGGTTGGCTCACTAATTTTGTTTCACACCTGGACAATGTAGCTAGTGGCTCTCCTTTGGCAGCCCTGGAAGGGGCCTTTGCAGGGGCTTTGCTCCTCTGACTGCATGACTGACATCAAAGAGATGACCCTTTGGTGGGCTGATCCTTCACCAGTGATGGCCCTAGGTGTAGTTGTGTCAGAGTAGTATTCAGGTCTGCCATTGTTCTTCTGTGCTTTGTATGGAGACACGCTTTTTATCACAGAACCTAAGAGGAGCAATTAAAGCCAGCTGAAGGACAAGCAGCCAGAAGGGTTTATGTTCTTCACCCAGTCTGTGTATTCCTGCTGTCTTATGGTGTTATTGCTAGTGCTTGTGGAACAGATCAGGCAAACAGATACTATTAAAATATCTTGTGGGGGAAAATGGCTAGTAAAAGAATGTAAACCATCCTAGAAGAAGTAAAAAGTAGGTTTTACGCTTTCAGCTTAAAAGTGAACGAGGAAGCATAATGTGAGAGGTTCTTTAAGAAGTCTGAAGTGTCTCCCATCTCTGATGTCAGATGATGTCTCCAGATCCTGATTTTTCTTACAGTGTTGTTAAAATGGAGCTGAGCTGTCTTGAAAGCTGGGTTCACTTACGGGTGTTGAACATCTCTGAATCTGGGCATGAAAGTCTGAGAGGCACCCAGCCCTGAGGTATATCCACTTGCAGAAATTTAAATCTATTTGTGGTTGAAAAAAAAGGATCAATCAATTTGCACCAGTGTATTTGCAGGCTGACAGGATCTCTGAATAACAAGGCTGTAGGGAGAGCCCACTGAACACATGCAGGGAAATCTTACTCAGTCCAGTCCTGGTCTCTTACGGTTTTTGAGTCTTTCTTCATGACCCTTTCTTGCCCACAAGGAAAGATAATTTCCTAAGGATGCTTATGCCACTTTTTCACTCAGGAGAAATACTTGATATGATCTATATAAACAGTTAGCCAAGAATTGCTTGTTTTCTCTATTGTTAACCATTTCTCTTTGTGTACTTCTGTAGTGTGAAACCTTTTTCTCAACAACCTTATGCTGTACAGCCTCCATTACCATTACCAGGTAGGTAAGGAAATGTAGTTCCTTGTTCTGAAATTAAATTCAAAGTTCAAGAACAACCAACGCCTAAAGTTTAGAAATTAATTTAAAAAGTATTTTAACCTATTGAAACATTTCAGTGAAGCCAAAATGAATTTTTATATTATCTCCCCTTATATATTACCTGTTCTTACGCTTTTACTGAGAGAGCACAAGCTTTTTAATTTTGCTTTATTAAAAAAACATTTTTTTCCTGGTTTAGGCTGGTTGTTCTGGGATTTCTTCTGGCTCAGCAGAAAATAAAAGTTTACATATCTCTACAGTTCTTCCACCATTGTGCATGTACTGGAACACTGTTTTCCATGATTGCCATTCTAATTACTCATTAAGTGCAACAACAAATGTGCTTTCCTTCTCAGTTTCCCCATTTTGAGAGGTTAATGGTTATGTTAATGGCGATGCTTCATTCTGATACTAAAGCTGTTTATTTCACTGCTTATTTAGGGCTCAATCCCTCTTAAAGTTGCTGAATGTGTTTTCTCTGGTGTCAAAACCGAGTAGGTTGTCTTTTACATTGCCAACTCTGACAGTGCTGTCTTAGCAGAGAGTCACTGAGAAGCCATTTAGAGCACAGGTAGAGTGAAGACCTTGTGAATGATATCTTTTCATGATGACTGAAGGCATAAGAAAATGTAATGAGTCAGTTTTGACAAGAGGTGCTCTACTGAAAAGATATTGCCACCCTTTCTCTTTCTAAATATTGTCATCTACATCCTGTGTGCTTAGGGTTTGAGTCTTCTACTGGCCTCTCACCTTCCCCATCATCACCAGCTTGGCAAGGACGAAGGGTTGCTAGCTCCAAACTTTGGATGTTAGAATTCTCTGCGTTCTTGGAACAACAACAAGACCAAGACACAGTAAGATACACACCTGACTTCCACCCCTCATTAATTTTTGGTCTTCAGGTAGCTCCTGTTCATTGTGGGTGTGTTACACTATTACACAGGTATGGAAATACTGAGAACAGAAAGCAATCTTTGGGAAAAAAAAGATATCCTTCTCTTAGAGGATAGAATTTCCTATAGTGATATAGCCAGTTCTGTGCCATGTGCTTCTGGCCTACCTTTCCAGGATCATGGATGTTCACATATCTCAATGCAGTGAGGTTGAGCTACACAGTGGTACAGCCCCTGCCTGTCTATTCTAGCTGCGCTGTTCAGCCTAGGAGGATAGACTCAGAATCAGATGATGGTAAGATCACATGAAGCCACGTATTTCTCTGTTGTGTTGGGAAGTGAAATTTGGGGGCAACTGGGATGAATTTGTATTAGTGTGTTTCCATGGTGTCATCTATAAAATGGTAGTAAGATGCAGTATCACTAAATATTGTGATACTGCATCTTGAGATGTACAGTGGTGATACGCCAGTTACATTTCCTCTGTCTGAGATAGGAAAGTTCAGAAAAGATGATAGTATTTGCCCTGTACCTTGCTGTGGGATTTCAGGCAGCTCCTCTTCGTAGGACAGGAGCATTGAGACTGGGTAACCTGTGACAGATAACGTTCTGTGTCTCAGGTTGTTTCAAACTATATAGCAGCCGCATGAGGCAATGGTTTAGGAGCAAATACAAAAGCAAAAATATTTCAGAAGAAGCAATAAGTGTGAATGTATTGATAGGAAAGAAAAACCAGCATGAGCTGGTATTAGCAGCAATACTTCTGCTTATATTTCTGCTCTTTTAGAAAATGCTATCAAATCTTCAGTAATTTCCAGGAGTCTTCTGTGAAGGAACCATGAATGTTCAGTATGTACTGAGCAATTTCCTAATTTCATGTTTTTCCTCTTCTTGCAGTATAACAAACACCTGTTTGTGCACATTGGGCAGTCAAGTGCCACCTACAGTGACCCCTACCTCGAGGCAGTGGATATTCGGCAGATCTATGACAAGTTCCCTGAGAAAAAAGGGGGCCTGAAGGAGCTCTTTGAAAAGGGGCCAGCTAATGCCTTCTTCCTTGTCAAATTCTGGGTAAGGGAAGAACCCTTTGTAGAGTAACCATTTGCTATGAAGTTCCCACTTGAAAAGTGGTGGCCTCGCTAACTGTTAGAAGACTGCCACCTCCCAAAGTTTTCCCTGTGCAGGGAAGTTATTACAGTCACAACTGTAATAAGTTGCCTGCACAGCTTCCCACAATTGTAAGTGAGGTCTTTCCCTGACTCCACAAGGCACCCATTCTGGCCTGGGGCAAGATGTATCTTTCACATTGTGTTCACTTCTCTGTGTTGAGTAACTTCTCAGTCAGAAGCAACATTTTTCCCTCTCTTATCTCAGTAGCTGTATTTTGTGTTATCCAAGCATTTATATAGGCATATTTACTGCAGGCACAAGGACAGACAAAAGATGATGAAATTGGATTATACTGATAATATATTACAGAAATGACTTTTGGTAAATTGGCAGAAAACAGCCTGGCAAAAGCCTACTCGCTCAATTTAGATTTCTGTGAGCTGGAATTTGCAAAAACTGTGCTATTGTACTTCAGGGTACAAACAAAGCAGTTCTGGCGATCAATATTATCATAGGTACTACAAGATTTAAAGTAATAGCAGCTTGGGGTTGAATGCTAGATGGCTGGGGGAACGCGTAATGGGATTTGGAGCCTGTCACCCTGAGTTTGCGACTTATAATTCAACTCCAGGTAAGGAGCGAGATGATGAGAAATGAGCTCTCATACTCTTCATGCAAACTGGCACTAGAAAGTCTCTTCAGTGATGCTTTCAGGACAGGGAAGAGTTAACTTAAATGCCTTGAGATGCAGCTCAGTCTGCCAGGAGTCTGCTTTTTAAATGTCTGGTGCTCTGAGTATTAGTTGCTGGTGATTCTTGGAGACACGTAATTTTACTAGCCACAGACTGTGATACTGAGCTGGCCCCTCATGGGTTTAGCCTATGTTAGAGTACAACAAAGCCTTGCTTGGGAAGGTGAAAACAAAAAGACCAGGCCTGTTCCAAGTGGAAGAGAAATACTTGAGAGAGACAGCAAACATCTTGTTGAGAAGGGTATCCTTTGACAAAATCTGGGTGGTGATTGCCGTACTAATAGTTGTTTGGAAAGCGAAACAGAAGGCTGATGTGACAAAAGGAAGGAAAAAGAGTAAGAGGGGATAGCTTCTAAGAATAGTCCTTGGAAAAGTAGGAGTTGCAAGAGCTGCTTCCTGCTGTGGCGGAGGGATCCCAGGAAACTCTTCATGTCAGGTAAAGAGCACTGGCTCCTGTGTGGTGTCACTCTGAAGTACTTTGGAAGTTTCCGGAATCAAAAAGAAGGGCTTAGAGGGAGAGGTTAGGTAGAGAGAATAAAATACTTTTGATTTCTTGACTTAAGGAGGGGGAGATCATAATGAAATTATGATCTAATGCAACTGTGATTTTATTTATAAAAACTGTTAGCGTTCTTTTGTGCTTGTGGGGTTGGGTTTGGGGATTGTGTGTGTTTGTTTTTTAATATCAGAAGGGTAAATGTGGCCTATGCATACTGTTAGACCAATGTAAGTTAAGCTTCTGGAGGATTTACATGGTGGGATGTCGTGAAGTTGGACTCTTTCTGGCACACATGAGGTGACTGCTGTTCAGAGGGTATCAACTCACTGAAATTTGGCTTGTATAAAGAGATGTGACATAGGATTTGAAACACTTTGATTTTAACATGTATATGACGTTCTGTGGCTCTGCACCTGTATGCTTGGAATGAAAGTGATATTTCTGGGCTTGGTTTAATAATATTTTTACCTTTTTTTTTTTTTTTGATACTCTTGCATTTTTGAATCCCATCTGAAGTTAACGTCAGGTTTTATTTGTGGAAGCACTACAGGCTGTCACTTAGAATTAAGTTAAGCATACTTGGTCAAGTCATTGATTGAATGGAAGCTTCTAAGGCTTTTTAAGAAGTAAATTGTCTGGTCTTGTATTTGTTTCTCAGTGTAGACAGCAGTAGGGGATAAAAACACCAGTCCTGATGCCATATTCTAGACAAGAAAGGATTGGGGCACTTCTATGACTTGTGCTGTGTTTCACATGACTGCTTAGATTAATCTTGTCACAAGATTTCAGCTACAATCTCTAAGGCAACATAACCAAAGCAGTTAAAAAAAAAACAAAACCACACTTTTGCTCCAGAAAATTTGGACTTTTTAAAGGAAAAACTCTTTTTTTTTTTTTTGCAAAACTTTGTATTCAACATGCCTGAAATACTGTGGTAATGCAGTCTTACATTTAAACAAAGCACGTGGGCTGTGCCTGTTCATGCACTGTGCTACATGCATCATGAGACTCCTCGAGTTTGGTGTACTGCAATAGATGTGTGTAGTGCAACCCCTCCACCACAGATAAGGCAATTTAAAAAAGAACACAAACCCAACAGTTCTAACACAGGAAAACTAGATTTCAGCTGAGATTTTTATGCCCATCTGCGTTTTCATACCTCTGTAACAGTATATGCAAGGTTGCTTTTTCATTTTGCTGCCTGGCTGATCTGGACAGCTATACAAATACACTGTTGGAAGTCTGAAGAGGTGTTGGTGTCTAAAGAGCTATACAAATGTGCTGCTGAATTTATAGTATGATTTTTAGGATAAAAGTATTATCCAAAAAGAAATTAACAGTAACCCTTAAACTTGGTAAGTGGAGTTAAATACCTGAACGGGTGTTTTGGGACTTGAAGATACTGAGTTTTCAAAGGTTCTAAATTGAAGTGGTGCTTGCAGGTGACAAAGACTTAAAAAAATCAAGTAATTGAATAAACTGGGTTTGTTTATATGTAGTTTTAGGCTTGAAGAACCTGAGGCAGGAGCCTGCCATTACTGCACTAAGCACTGAATATACCAGATGATCTCTTGTGCACCAGACACCTAACGCTAAACAACTGGGTTGGGTTTTCTTGACATCACTGATAGCACTTAGGATCTAGTGTGACTGAGAAAGAGATGTTTGGTGCTTTATCTATATTTAAAGTGGTGCTTTAAATTATCTATACAACAGCTAAGAGTTAAAAGTTGATCAGTTTGCAATTCTCCCTTGCTTTTGGCACTGGGAGTTTAGTACAATGAACTAACTCTTGAATTTGGATTGGCAGGTCGCGTATGACATCTGTGTGACATTTCTATGTGCTCCAAGTGCATTCTAGCACACAACAATGAATATGAGATGTTAGCCTCCCAACACATGGGCGGTATCAGCTCTGCTCTTTTCCAGTGTAATATTATCTCTACCACCTGTTACTTGGTTCTCCCCATGAACTCCTCCTATATGCATCGTTATTAATAGTGTGGGGAAGTGGTGTTTTCAGGGCTTTGCACATTAGTAGAGTGTTGCGCTTGCATCTTAAAGCTTTCAGAAGTCGTGAGACTCTAGGTAGAAGACAGAAGGAAAATGACAAACCAGGAATTCAGGACAGGTAGTACTTCATCTGCAGAGGGGTGGATCAGGGGAATTTGCAGGACCTTTCCTGCAAATGATGAATGTATGTACTAATTTCTTCTCCTTGGCGATAGGCAAACTGAACCAGTTAAATCACTGTTTTCTTTCCAGTAAATGAATTATACTTTTATGGAAGGGGCTGAAGGGGTGGGATGGGGACTGCTGTCCTATGCTTGGGTTTTTCTGTCCCAAGCAAATTCAGTCAAAACAGCAGTAGTGCAAATTCCCTTTGGCATCCTGCCTTCAATCCTGACCTGGCGGAGACTGCTTGGAGAGCAAAGAGATTTAATTTGGTCTCCATGTCCATTCTTTCCTTGGAGCTTCTTCTGAGGCAGCTAGCAACAGAGATTTTATACTTCTGCACATTTTTACTGAGAAATGGATCTGACAGCCCATTAATTTCACCTGCAGTCACCAGCGCAACCTCCAACCAGTTGCTACCTTATGGAAGCAAACTCTGTCAATGGCATTTCTTCCACTAAATTTATTGCCCACAGTGTTAAACAGTATAGAGATTGCCGTCAGCAAAAAGCAGATTGAAAGACTGAATTGCTGTGGGAATTTGTCTGCTGAGTGTCAAAATAGCACAATCCTGGGAGGGGAGCTAGCTAGCTAAGTTGCAGCTACCCATACTGTTGGCAGGGCTTTCTGCTATCTTTGGCTCACTTAGAAACTCTCCCTTTTCCCCTTCTGAAGCTGCAGAGCCACAAGTTTTTGACTGTTTTGAAATAATTGTTCAGCATATGCTTTTCAATTAACCATGTAGGACCTGTGTGCAAGATATCAGCAAGCTGTGGTTTCTTACGGCACTTAATGCCGTTTGGACTCTTGACCAATCACTGCTTTTCAAAGCCTCAGATAAGCTGAAGACTGATTCTTGAAGGTCACATTTCCCTCTGTGAAGAGTTTCAGAGAAATTTTGATCCACACGCTCATCCTAGTAGGAATGAAAACTCATTCCCACCAAAGAGCATACAAAACTGTGGCTTAATATATGGTTAGGACAGTGCACAATGACAACTTTTGTGTGTTTCTTTTATTGGGGTTGAGAAGTTGAGTGATAACGTTCGAGCTTGGCAGAGCTGTTTTCAGTAAAGTGGTTAAGAGATTCAGGTAACCAATATGATTTTAAAAAACCCCCAAAGAGTAGTACTAGCTTCTTGAGGGTTACTTACCCTTCCCTGAAAAAATCCCTTCTCTTCTGTCTAGAAATCTTGTTCTTGTAAGTATTTAAAAATTCTCCTTAGTTCCTTGGAAAGGAGGAATTCTCAGCTGTTTTGCCCAAAACAAGCAGATCAGCTCTCCTGCATGCAATATGTAGCTCTCCAAGATGTGCTAGATCACAGATACCTGAGTGATTGTAGTTTCAGCATGTCTGGAAGTCATCAGGCAAGGTATAGACAAGTATGTAATCTGGCTGAGCTTGCACAATAAGTTAAATGCATCCCAGGCATATCAGATTGCTCTTATGCTAGAGTGTGCTCAGGTTTTCTCATCTAGAACTTCTTGAGCAGAAAGCAAGACTCTGATTGTCAGATAAAATAGTATGGTCCAGTT